AACATTATGAAGCAAATAATAGCTTAATTAAATACAGAAGTAAAAAAATTTTATTTTAATTCACAAACTTTACATAAAAAACTGAAAAAAGAATTTAAAAAAATAACACAATATAACATTTTCATAAAAAATTTTTCGAGCTGCTTGGAAAAAATGAATGGTTTTTCCCCCTGTAACCATGTCTCCTAAATAAAGAAAAAAAAATTTCTTTTAAAATCATAATCATGCTCTTAAAAGCTTATAAAAAATTATTAATAGATGTTAAAAATGTGCTTTATATAACACTTTTAATCATATCTTTATAATATCTTAAGTAATTAGGAACAGCTTAAAACTTTAAAAAATTGGATACAGTGACGATCATACGACAAACTACCTCAGTCAATCACTTTTAAATTTAAGCAGCATTCCTCATTAAAAAACAATTAGTAAATAACTTCTCTAAGATGTCCAATAAAGAAGATCAACAACTTCAGGGAATCACGCTAGCTAGCTTAGAGAAGGTTCATTGTAAAAAAAAGCCAATATGCAATCTTTTCATAAATGAAGCCACATAGTATTTAAAATATAATATACAGAATACTATATTCAGAATTCAGAACTTGAATAAATTTTCGAACTGTTTAGATTAGAAAAAATGATATTTATTACCTTAAATTTCTAAAACAATATTAACATATTGAGTTCAAATGAAACACTGGGTCAGACAACATTTTCCCCAGCTTTCTTTTAGCAACAGGATCTGAAATTGTTTTAATGATTTAGGTAATGTATGTCTTCCTTAAGGCGCTCACAAAACAAGTTACCCTACTAACAAAACCAAACATCATATTCCCATTCTGCATAGTATAAAAATTCTTCTGCAAAACTGCAAAAATTACCAACACTGGCTTATTTGATAACTTTCAAATTCACTCCTTTGTTTGCATTTAGAATTTGTAACTTTAATTTTCCACAGAAATTTTTGGATTTAAAAAAATTTCACTGGCATAATTTCATTCACTTCAGCATATATTAGATAATAGAGCAGAGGTTTTGTACCTTACATAATTTTTCTTATGTAACCAAACGTAATTAATAACAAAATCAAAAATAGACCAGAAACTGAATAAAATTTAAAAATAATTTTCGACTAGTGTCACAGGAAATGCTGTGAAATTATCAATAAAATGAGATAAAATATATAGAATTAAATATACACATGTGTCAAGTTGGAAGTTTTACGTTAAATACTTTTTTTTTAATTAAGTATTTTAAAAATGACCCCTTAGAGCATGGATCTTTCGCAATTAAAACTTGCAACCATTTCGATAGTATTTCATACATTGCTTTTCTTTATAACAAGGAATTCATTCAGTTATTAATTTAAGATTTCCAAAAATAATGCTACTGAAAGGCATGAATACTTACTTAAATTTGAAATAATTTAGTTGACTTAAAATAATATTTAAAAAAATAAATTCATATATACGTCTAAAATCAGACCTTATTAATTTCTTTTATTTGAACGATATCTGAATTCTGCATTAGTTGGACTAGTAAATCATTGACAATTAAATGCCAAGCTATAAGAGAATAATGTAGTTTACAAATGCACTGAATTTTATTTCCTGCATTACTTTCAAAGAAAGTAAAATTTTCTGCATATTGCATTATTTGGATTGATAGAATATGGCAAAGCATGCAAAGGCTATCAGCCTAAAGAGAAGATATATTCAGGACGGCTTTGTAAGGAAAAGTAGCTGCATTCATTTATCATGTGTTGGTGTTGATATATATTACAATTGTTAATGCTAAAATCAATGCTTCATTAAAAATTATTATTATTTTATTTTAATACTAACATTACAGATACAGAATTGTTTAAATTCCAATAAACAATCATAATTTTTTTAAGAAAACTTATTTTGATTTATATATTATATTACTGAATAAGAGAAACATTGTCAAGAAATTTATTAAACTTGTATTTGCAGATCCATCTATCTAGTAACAAGACTATCCAAAACTGTATTAAAATTGGGCAAAACAAAACAACATAAATTCTACATTAAATGTTTTAAAACTTATAAGTATGCAGTGGTAGATATTTATACATATAATAAATTTGTTATTTATAAAATATTAATGAAATGATATTTTTGGAAATAATGTACAAAATTTTAGTTTTCGTTTTATAACTAGTTTAACGAATTTTAGAAAAATATTTTAGGTCATTTCCATCTCCCTGTGAATTGGTATATTAAAATATATGGAATAATTAAGTTGCATCTAGTTAGTAACACAAAACATAACGAAAAGTATGATGCGACATATTTTTAATCAATATAATTACTTCATTTTGGAATTTATAACATTTTTAAGAAATTAATACCATTGAAAAAAATAATATTATTACACTAAAGAATAAACGAGATTCTCGACCGCGTTGTTCAAGTTTTTGTAATTTTACTTCAAAACACACTCGTACATAAAACATATTAGACTGAATTAAAAACAAGTATAATTAATTAGGTAATCCTAGAAAAAGAATAAACTAAACTAGTAAGCAAAAAAAATACATTTACATTCATACATATGTCTAGATAAACTTTTCTCGCAAGGACCTGACGGGAAAAAAGATGTCAAACGTTCTTTGGTCAGACGATTGCAAACGAACATTTCCGTCTTCAATTAAATACCACAACAGTGATTAAATTGGAATAATTAGTTATAAATAATAATTCGGGCAATTTAAGCGTAATTTATTGGATGCAGAATGACAAAATACTACTATTAGATCTGCATTTGGAATAAATATTTTGCACTCTTTCAACTCATTAGACATTACGAAACACTGATATAATTAATCGCAAAGCTTAAAACGTTAATAATTACTCACTACATAAACAGTGCAAGTGCATGAGAATAATTGCATAAAATGAACAAAAAATTCAAAATAGTAATTGTAAACAGTTTTCTTATTACCTGCGTAAACAAACCAACATGCATTCAGCATTTTTTCTGCAACTAGCTTTCAACACTTTTCACCTGATTGGCTAATTTCCAGTCAGTCACGCGATTCTTCCGCGCGACTTCTGAAACATTATCTGTAATGCTACAAGCAAATCAGGTGTACCCGCTACAGTTTGCTTTCAACCTGTTACCATTACAGGAAATTCTTGTGTAACTTTTTGATTTCTGTAACTTTACAAAACTTTTGCCTGTAAAGAGCGAACTTTTTTTTTACAGTGCTCAATTAGCAGTGTTTCTTCGTTCTTGTGACAAGAATTTTAACATTTTTGAGGAATTACTGGAACTAATACCGATGCTTGGTACTACCACACCAAATTTTAGGCTTCCCTGCCCCGTGAACTAAATCACACTACAGGTCTACTCCTCCTTTGGGCACGTCGTGGAGGTTCAACCTCCACTATTACCCTCCAGAGGAGCAGCTCACCACCTGGAATTCACCAGGCAGTACCGGTCGTCTAATGCTCCTACCAGTCGCATGGGCGAGCCCGTCGCAGTGGGCCGTTGCCCAGCAAACCAGGGGGAACCAAGCCCTCCGGCTACGGTTCCACATCGCTCAGGACATGCCAGTCCCCGAGGCCGGCCAATAAATGACCTTTCCCAGGGGCTTCAGAACCACCAAGTTCATAAATTTTATCCCCCGTGGCCGAAACTGCCTAGGTACAGATCCTAGCCAGTAGCTTCGCAGAGTTCTCTACGTCGACCCCGGGGGGTTGGTACTACCACAGGAGAAGATATATTTACTTGTGTTTTTGGACTTCTGCAGAAATACAATCTACCTTTGGCAAAATTAAATTCTGTAGCTACAGATGGCGCTCCATCAATGACCGGGAAAAACAAGGGCTTCGTAGCATTACTAAGAAAAAAACTTAAGTGAAATTCACGGTTCAAACATTCATCATATGCATTGTATTATAGTAATAAATATAGAGTTCTATGCACGAAAGTAATAAATATAGAGAATGTTTTGTCATATATAAAAAAGTTATAAATTTTATAAGATCTTGAGGTTTAAATCAGCGTCAATTCACTGCTTTCTTAAGTGAATTAGATAGTGAATATTCGGGTTTGTCCTACTATACCGATGGTATGTTGGTTATCTTGCTCCAAGATTCTCACACAATTCCAGGATTTGAAAGAAGAAATATACCAGTTTTTAAAAACGAAAAATCAAGACGTAAGTTTGTTTTACGATCCAATATGGATACAAGATTTATCTTTCTTGGTTGATATAACCTATTTTCCATGCTTTTGGAAAGTATCCAGTTTTTAATATGCAGTTGATGATCCTTACCAGTTGAAAGATTACCTTGATTCCCATATTTTAAATCATTTTGTTCGTGAATTTGTCCGCACCAGGGCTTTTCTTGATTTTGAGTTCTGCGATGTGCATAAGGACTTCCGACGGGAGGAATGTTGTAATGTTGCTTGTGGAAAGGAATTGTGTAATCGTATGTGAGTCATAGCGTTCTGTAAGTGGGTGTGAAATGTTGTGAGTGTGAAACTGATTGGCAAAATGATCGGCTAGCGATTCAGCCTTTTCAGTTTCTGTGTATGCAATTCCCTGAGGGCCGTTAAGGGGCGGAATAGTATTGTAGCATCTGCTGTACTTAGTCGTAGCTTCCCAAATGGAATTATCATCAGGGTTTAGTGACGCCAAGTAGTTGGCCCAATCGTGATCTGCTTGTTTGCGTGTAAGGAGCCTGACTTCACGGTTAATTTTGTTCAATAATGCTTGTGCTGGTACTGCATCTTGCATTCTTTACGACGGCTTTTCTAAGATTTCTGATTTTCATTTTGACCTTCATCAGTACTGTTTATTTTTCGACAGGGAGTGATCTTGACGTCTCTGTACTAGCACAGCCAACTCTATCATGGCCTTGAAGCGCAAAAGTCACGTGATCAAGATGGTCGATTTGTTCTGACCAAGGAGGTCAGAGGTCTATTCTAACCCCCTTGGTTCTTATGGTAGCGTGTGGCTACTACGAAACTGTGGTCGTGAATTTTGTGGATATATATTTTGCCAATAGTGTTATGTAAGTAGATTATTTTGGTATTCTAAGTGATTTTAAATAACGTGAGCTTTATGTAATTATAAATAATAGTTTTATCTATATTTCGTTTTATATATTTTTAATTTTTAGATTTATTTGGGAAAATATGTAGCTGTTTTCAAGCCTATGCAAGTGTTTCGTTTTAACAGCGAATGCATTTACTTTAGTTTGAACATTTTGAGTAGTATTGTTTTGACTATTTGTTTGGAAATCAGGAATTCTTTATTATTTTTGATTATTTGTTTCTAATAACATATTGGAATACAGAATGCCTCGACATTGCAGTGTATTTGGCTGCAAATCCAATTACGACAAAAATGAGAATGTCACTACTTACTCTTTACCTAAATCACCTAAAAGAAGAGCTCAGTGGTTAAGGAAAATTCCGAGAGATTTAAGCAAATTAAAAAACCCCGTAATTTGTATAAAGCATTTTGATGAATCACAGATAATAAGAAAGGACTGTGTAATCTATAAAAATGAATATAAAGAATATGACAGAAAAATCCCTGGTCTCATTCAAGGCGCTGTGCCATGTATATTTGAAAATGCTCCCTCATATTTAAGTACAAATAAATCCAAACCTCGCAGACTTGTTGATGTAGAAGAAGTAAATTATAAGAAAGCCGTTCAGGAAAGTTTACTTCAGCAGAAAGCTGATTTAGAAAAAAATGCATTAAAATGTCCTCAAGATGTGGTCAATTACTTTCGGGAAAACATATGTAAATATAAAAATAAATGGTTTTACTTAGATGACGATGATGATGATATAATTCGCTTATGTTTATATGCAGCTCATGAAAATTGTCCAAAAATTTTGGGATGCATCATTATAAGTACTGACATGAATTTTGAAGTATACATTGAAAATCGGAAAGAAAGTAAGAAGAAATTTTCAAAATCACCCGTTGTTGATACAATTTCAGTATTACATGATTTAATGAACAATGTTGAAACTTCTGTTACTAATACAACATTTCCATCTGTGTTAGAATCAGCAATTACATTACTAAATTCTGTTGATTGTAATTTAGATAATTCTGAACATATTTCTTTTATAATAGAGCAATTAAAATTGTTAAGAGTATCAAAAAATAATAGGCGTTACAGTAATAGAACTTTAATTTTAGCTTCAACATTATTTGTGCAATCTTCTTCGGCATACAATGCTTTACTAAACTGCGACTATTTGTGCATTCCAAGTACTCGAGTCTTACGCAATATTATGAGTAGTTATTCATTGTCAAAATTAAGTTTGGCTGGCAGCATTAATTATTTAGAGAGGAAAAAATGTTTTCTTAATGAACAAGAACTTGTAGTAAATGTTTTATTAGATGAAATTTACATTCAGCCTATGTTCAACTTTAAAGGTGGTTCTATTTATGGAGGTTCTCATGATAAACCAGCACTTGCTGCCAAAACAGCTCAGGTTTTCATGATAACATCAGTTTTTTCTTCATATAAGGATGTAGTTAGTATTGTTCCAGTTAATGGATTGCAAGCTAATGAGCTACAAGATATGATTCAGCAGATTTTAATAGCATTAGAAAATATAGGATTTAAAGTTGTTTGTTTGATTTCTGATAATAATGCTGTGAATAAACGCGCATTTGAACTAATGACCCCTAATAAAACTTTGCAGCCATATATTAAGCACCCTTTAGATGATTCAAGGCTTCTCTTCTTTCTTTTTGACACAGTTCATATGTTAAAATCAGTACGCAATAATTGGTGCAACAAAAAATTAATTACATTTCCTGATCTAGAAAATAATGATATTTTAAAGAAAGCTAACTTTAAGCATTTGGAAATCATGTATGATATAGAGAAATCTTCCATTGTTAAATATGGCCATTTACTTACAAATAAAGCTCTTTATCCTTCAACAATTCAGAAACAAAACGTGAAACTAACACTTCAAGTCTTAAATGAAAAAAACATAGCAGCATTAAAATGTATATCAAAGGATCATGCAGATGTTTTTGTGAACTCAGATGAAACTTGTGATTTTATTTCAGTATTCACAACATGGTGGAAAATTGTAAACTGTAAAAGCAATTTTGAAAGTAAGCTCTTTAATGATAAATTTCGTGGTGCTATTAACTCTCAGAATGTTGAGCAGATTAATTTCTTAAAGAAACTAGTATTGTGGCTTAAGATATGGAAACAGTCTGTTCCAATAAAAGAAACTTTATCACCACAAACATTTCAGGCATTGATAATAACTACAGATGCATTCATTCAATTGATTCCATATTTGTTTCAAAAGTATGAGGCTGAATACATATTATTAGGAAAATTTCAAACTGATGCTCTTGAATCACGTTTTGGAATGTATCGGCAAATGTCAGGTTCAAATTATTACATAAATTACCTACAATTATTAGAAAGTGAGAAGAAGCTTCGTTTTAAAAGCAATATTATAATTTCATCATCAAATATCAATATCCCTTTAACTTCTCTTTTACCAGATTATGATAAGGATTCTATCTTTACCTTTGTGAATATTGATGATTATTCAAATTTACTAGTTAATGATTTTTCTACAGAAAATGTTCCTTCTGATATTTTACCAGTGCTAGTTTATATTTCAGGTTATGCTTCCATGAAAGAATTAAGGGTGGTAAAATGCAGTATTTGCCAGGACTGGTTGCAAAGTGTTCATTCGGTAGATATAGCAGATGATATTTTTGGTTTTCTTAAAGAATTAGATAGGGGGAAATTAACTTTACCGTCTGAAGTTGCTTTACTAACATCTTCAATTGTACATTTCTTATTTGGTGGAATTCTCGAAAGCATGGAAGATACATTTCTTATATCAGGAAAGCAACTGGGTATTTTATATAAGTTATCTTGCATACAGTTAGGTAGAATTAAACTTTAATTTAACAGATTCTTGCATTTGTGGAATGACTTTGCAAACCCGATTAGAAAAATATCTGTTTGATAACTTGTAAAATAATGTTAAATAATTACACAAAACATATAAAAATGACAAAATTAATATAAAATGTTCATATAAAAAAGTTAAAAAATTTACCAGTTAATTTCAGTTAATAAGTCACAACTGTTTGTTTTTATGTATGCTTCTGCATAAATGATGTATGATATGTAGGATGTGTGTATATGGCACAGCTCCAAGTTTTATGAATCTATTTTTGATAGTGGAATAGGCCTGTAATTTGGGGACACCACTGTAAAAAAAAAAAAAAAAAAAAAAAAACGAGCCTAATCACTTACCTCTTCGGTGGTTTGGAAAAAGTGATACAACATAAAATTGGAGCTGGCACAAATAGAAGGTTGTCCTTTTTATGAATGTAATTAGCATTTAATTTGCCAAAATTTTCTTGAAAGATTTATTTATAGCATAACATGCATGTAAGTTTGTTTTTATACACAAATTTCCTAGCATTTAAGGAATTTTTAATTCATTTCCCTGTTTTGATAAAATTGTGATATTTAAGTTTTTATTAGTGAATGAAGTGATGAGAGATGACTATGAATATTTGCATTCTAAAAATTTATATAGCTGATGCGATGGGAGCGGCATGAATTTTTACAAAATATTCTGCTCTTAATATTTATTTTAGTGTTAAGAAAATCTAAATAAAATTTACATCTATAAACCTATTGAATTTTTCCCCTTTTGTGGATTTTATATTATTTTGGGAACAAATTTGATTTAGATTACATAAATGGATTCCATTTTTATTAAAATTGCAGAAATAAAGTTTTTTTCTGGTGATTCTCAATGATATTTTTAGTTACATAAACAAAGTACAATTGTTTTAAAAATTATTGAAGATATTCATTTTACCGGCTGTGAAAATATTACACTATGAAAAATTTAATGCAAGTCATGCGACCTAGTCACGTTTATTAATTTTACTTATATTTATATTAAGAGAAAACTATTATTTTTGGCAAGTTAAATTTCGCGCTTATAGCGAAGAGAAAAAGATCGACTATTTTGATCACGTGACCTTCCGAAACTGATTTCGCTTCAAGGCCATGATAGAGTTGGCTGTGATGTACTAGTGCGTCTAATTCATTCCCATCCTGTGCTGGGTGTAAGGTGAATTGAGTGTTGTTCAGAGCTTTGGTGTATTCACACCAATTTGTGATAAAAGCCCTTTTGTCTGGTGTGCTATGGCTTACTAGATCCAACTCCAGAAAGACGGGGTGAACGATGAGCCCGAAATAATACTTTATTTGAAGTTTAAAACATGGAATTGGCTGCAGATTCTGGTTCCATCAAATTTTTAATTATGTATCACTGCAAATAATTCGCTTTTTGATTTGTGTACTACCCTTGAACATGATATTAAATATATAATTAAATACTTCTGTCACCTTTCTCGTCTGGGGCTCAAATCATTTTGCGTTATTTTTTGTAATGAGTATGAGTAATTTAATTATTTATTAGGATTTAGGCATTAAAATGAATGAATTCTGAATGCTGTCGCTCTCTATTCTCACTATTATTACACGTAAACTATAAACTATTCTATTATTAATATTAGTAGTATTCGTTTTTGAACTCAATATTTTATTACGGTTCTGGTTTTATTTAATGAAAAAGTGCTAAAATAAAGTGCGTGTATGGTATGATCTTTCAGATTCCATTTTGACCTGCAAGTGGTGAAAATGGGGAGATCTTCACAACGCACCTTTACCTTATTCAAAATGGTTTCTCGTCGAAAAACCCAAAAAATGGCGACTGAAAACTTACAAAAAATGCAGCCTTCGTAAGAGTGCGGAAAACTTCTTGTCGATGCTCGCTGTGAAAAACCAATTTTTGATTTTACTCTCATTGCGTAAATATTAGCTAAGTGCGGCATGAAAGCAGATTAATACAACTTATAGAAAATTAGTTCACATGTACAAAACGCATCATTGCGCCAGTACGTTCATGGAAAACAGCAGATTCGCATTAAAGTGTTCCAATCTTTAGGAAAAGCAAATGACAAATATGTGGTCGAACCCATACGTGATGTTGGCATAAAGGTGTTGATAATATTGTTGTTTGTGTCTCAGGAAAATGTCGAGGTTGTGCTTCACGGAAATGGATTCATGTAACTCAATATTTAAAAAAAATAAAACAATGCGATATTGTAATTGAACCTTATTTTCATTCAAATGATAAAGGTCTGTATGCATATGAGCGATGCAAAAGTACTTTTTATTTTTATGTATTAATCTTCCTTCGGGAGAACTAGAGTGGATGTAGAGGGTTTCACGCCAAATCGTTAATATTCTATCGAATGTTCAGACATTTTGAATATTCAGTTTAACTATCAAAATATCCCATCTAATTTTCTCTCGACTTACGATCTATATCTTGATTTCAAACAGAAAAAGAAATAAATAAAAAAGACTGTTTGCTAAATAAATACGTCTAACACTTCTCAGTCGTAAATTTAAGAAATTAAAGCAAAACTCTTTATTCCTGCCCACATAAAAATTTCCGTTTCGCAGATTCTCAGTTTTACATAAATGTTTAATTATATTTTCAAGCAAATTACATTTTATAATGAAGCTGTTATATTATTAACAAAAATTATTATCATGAAATATAATAAAATCTTCATGATTATATCTTTCAGATGCCACCATAAATATGATCACCACTTGTCAGAATTTAACGAAACACTGGTACTGAACATTAGTTTTCGAAACCGACTTCTTCTGTAGAAGACCAAACCTTCTAGAACCATGCAGTGTACTTATTGAGGTTAGACTTTCTTTATTGAGGTTAATTTTTCTTGAGATTAACTTTCTTGCAGATCCTGTGGTATAATTAATCAAAAAAGTTTACAATCTAATTTAAGTTCAAAAGTTTTTAAGTGCTTAAACTATAATGAATTTTGACAGTTTTCATCCATAGTTGAGAAAACCACTCTGTGAATTTCGTCCGGAATAGCAATAAATTATGTTTTGTTTCATTAATAATTTCATGATATTTTTACGAATGTGTTGCCTGGGGTTTTGATTTATTCTAAAGAATGTTTATACTTCAACAGATCATTACGTGTGAATTTTAATTGTTCTCTGAATTCTTTAAGAAAAGGACAAAGAAATTAAAATGAATAAAATAATTTATTTATTTAATATTGTAGCGCTGAAAAATGGAAACTAAGGCTATTGAAAGTATCTATATTATGTCATGGTATACATATGGCACTATTATGTTATATTATATATATATTACCTATTATAATATTATACTGACATCATTATAGATATGAATGTATTGCTTTCATGCAAATAAACTCTGCAAACAATTCTTAAGTTCACGGCAAGCAGTATAGAAGAACATGGGCATTTTGTGAAGTTCATATACATATAACAAAATATAAGTATAGATACACTGAGGCTTTATAAAGAAATATACTTACAAGTCTAACAAATCTGATTTTCTAAAATTTTAAAACTCTATAGCATTAATAGTTTTCTCAATTAAAAAGTTTTTGTGTTTCGAAATATATGTTACAAATAATGATATAAATGAATAAAATGATATAAATGAAGGCCGCAAGTTACAACTAAATAAAGGTTACAAAAATAAAGGCACGGTGAACACTTTTGTGAACAAAGTGGAGACCTGGATTAAGTTTTTTTTTTTTTTTTTTTGAATTTTCAGTAAAATTTCATACATAATATGCACATTTTTTTTGGAATGAGAAATTTACGATTTTTTTCAAATTTCATTTCATATTTTTTATGAGAAAAGTAGAAGAAAAACCTTGCATTCCTACAGAAACTAAAATTCGAGTCTGAGATAAGATTGTAATCGTTTAGGCAGAGGAAGGTGTTCCAATCTCGTCTGGCAACTGTGAATTGCACATCAGAGTATCCCTCAACACACACCTTGAATAATGCGACAGCGTTCTTGGTTGATGGATCATGTTAAAACTGTGGTACTCACGATTTTGAAGTTCGTGGCAGATTTACTCCACAGCCATGGTTTCAGCATGTCTGGGCAGAAAACGTTTCATTTCCTCGTACGAAAGGAAGGCGTCTGGAACGGATCTCCATATGAGGCATAGACTGTTCAAGTAAACAGCAAAATGTGAAACACTCCAGGCGTGTAAATTAGTAAAAATTTCGACAGTAACAGCTTCTCTTGGACTTAGATTTATCCATCGTCTTCGCAAAAAGGCAGGAATTCTTCCCCTGAAAGTAAATATTGTTCAGAGGGGAGAAAATGACAGGAAAACATTGCAGGAATTAAGGTGAACCCTTTCAATCAGAAAATTAGTCATAGGCGAACTTAGAAAGCATTCATAAAGAAACACCAGGACATATATTTCTTATTAGTGGATAAAAGAATGGGTCCTAGTATTTATTATTTAAAGATCTCCTAATTCTTCAATAAGAATGTTAATTTTCAGTAGTTAGTCTGAAATGAAATTTTAGGTTCTTGTATTGCTTTAGTGTCCAGTGCTTGCTGATTCTATTTATTGCTTTAAACTATCTAAAAGTCTGCGGCATTTCCTCAGAGATATATATTTTTGTTATGTCTATAATTTATAAGAGTATGGTATATTAGCTTAAACTGTTACATTAGTAAAAGGTATTAATCACTATTTTATAGATATTTGACTTGAATTCGTATATTCCTTTTTTTTTTTCAAATTTAAAATCGAAAATACAGTACAATAATATTTTTGGTGACATGCTTTCGTCCATTATTTTAACAACAGTTTTTCTCTCGCCACCACTTTTGAACCTTGTCAGATTTTCTCTCAATGGTTAATCCTAGTTATCTCGGATCGGAAGTTAAAAAAAAATCATTTGAAAATTAATCTTTGTTAAATCGGACACTGCTAAAAAGTACATGTAATGATTTCTGGAAAACGTTCCAAAATTCGGTAAATTAAA